CAAGTTTGGAGACCCTGGGGAAAAGCTATGTGGTTGTTGTGGGTTGACATTGACCAATAGGGAATCAATCCGCTGAGGATTCAGATGTCTGCAGGGAGAACTTAAAATGCCATGACAACCACCAACAGATGATGGAAGCCCTGCCTCTTTGTACATGCAGTTTTAGCTACCACCTCAGCTTTTTTGACCCGCTTCCCCTGCAGACACTTTGGAAAGGACTATTGGCATGTTTGCATTCTAGCTAGATGTGCAAATCTGAGTGAGCTTAGCCATCAATGTGTTTTTTGTAAGCCAAAATATATCCAACAGCGGCAAATGTAATATTGGGGGGGATATAATAGGGGATAATATAAATTAAGATGAAATCTTGAATGGTCAATGAAATGGTAAAAGGAGAAAATTTGGTAATGGATAATGATGTGATGTTAAAAAGTTATATTTGTGACTATGGATATAATTATATAGTATAGGATAATATCTCTAATGAACTACATATTTTGTTACTCATTTGTATAAGGTAATGGGGAATATTGCTTTAAATTTGATATTATTGGCTGAAAGAAAATGAGATGGTAAAAATATATGTTAACAGTGGTGAATGTAATATTGGAAAGGGGATTCCATAGGAGAGAATATAAACCAAAATGAAATTTTGAATCATCAATGAAATGATATGAATAGATTAAATTGTGAACATGTTGAACATAGGAATATATAATTAAGGAAAATAGAGATTGATTAAAAATAAAGAGACTGATATAAAATAATCTATGAGAATATAAAGAAGAAAACTTGGTAATTGATAATGATGTAATGTTAGAAAGCTGTATTTAATATGGATGACTGATTTAAAATGTAAAACACCTGGAACCACACTGTTCTCTTAAAGATGTATTTAAATAATTAAAAAATAAAAAACTTCTACCAAAAAAATGGGTTTTGTGTAAGCCACCCAGAGTTACTCCAGCAGTGAGATGGATGGCATACAAATTTAGTAAAGAGCTAAATAAAATTATGCAAACCCAGGACTGATATTAACTCCCAATGGAACATTTGTAGCTCAGGGTTGAATTGTGGGGTCCTTGATGTTCTCTGAGCTCGGTGGCTTTTCTACAGGTGTTTCGTTACCAGGCTAGGTAACATCATCAGTGCTAGAAGGGAGTGAGGGAGGGTTGGGAGAGGGAGGAGGAAAACTGTGAGCTCCTTGGTGCTCTCTGAGCTTGGCTATTTTCTAGCATACATTTCATTATCCTATTGGGTAACATCATCAGTACTAGGAATGAGTGAGGGAGTGGAGGAGGAAGAAAACTAGGAGGTCCTTGGTGCACTCTAAGCTTGGCTTTTTTCCTGAAGACATTTCATTACCCAACTAGGTAACATCATCAGTGCTAAAAAGGAATGGTGTTGTGGTGGTAGTGGTGAATTATGGGGCCCTTATTACAAAAGCTTGGTTTTTTTCCTGCAGACGTTTCATTACCCAACTAGGTAACATCTTCAGTGCTAAAAGGGAATGGGGAGGAGGAGGAGGAGGAGGAGGAGGAGGAGGAGGAGGAGGAGGAGGAGAATTGTGGGGCCCTTAGTACAAAAGCTTGGCTTTTTTCCTGCAGACGTTTCATTATCCAGCTAGGTAACATCATCAGGATTAAATGGGAGTGGGAGTGTCTGCTTACATACAAATGGCTTTCCCTGTCAGTGTGAATGTGTGAGTGTTCTTAGTGCTTCCCTTTTTTTTTAAGGGTGCTTAGGGATATTGTGTGAACGCAACACCCCCCCCCCCCCCCCCCCCCCACCAGAGAAAGGACCAGTCACAAAAGGAGACTTAACCTCTCCATCCACCACGCAGGCATTTACAGCACACAAGAGGACGCCAAGAGGCCGTGGGGATGGGATGTGGTACCAGTTTTATTGGTAAAATTGAACGCGAAGGCTCACGAACGCTGGGACATGCTTTTCCTTTTAAAGAACTTCCACTGGACCTTAATAGTGAGCATCCAGTCGTTCACGTACAAACTTTTACAAGCGGATGTGTAGACATGCGCCTCGAGGGGAAGATGGCAGCATCCGGGTCGGGTGGATGGGTGCTGGGCGAGGCACGGGGTACCCACGATTCATTTGCCAGCCTTCTGGGCTTTCTGTGCGGACTTGGTGACCTTCCCAGCCCCGCCACTCTTCTTCTCCACGTTCTTGATCACGCCCACCGCCACGGTCTGCCGCATGTCACGTACGGCGAAGCGACCTGGAAAAATGGCAGGGGACAGTGAAGTTAGAACAGCCCCTCAGTTGTCAACCCCCCCCCTGCTCAAAACAGGGGTCGGTGTGTCATGCCTGGAGAGTGTGTGTGTGTGTGTGTGTGTGTGTGTGTGTGTGTGTGTGAAAGGAACCCAAACCTGGCCTTGGAACTCAAAGAGAGGAAGATGAGGGTCCTCAAAAAGGGAGATTTGCAGAAAAGGACCCGCAGCTTTGAGAAAGCGTGAGAAAAAGAAACTTCCAATAACTACCCCGTAGTTTTATTTATATATGATTTGATTGCTTATTGTACCCTATGACTATCATTAAGTGTTATATCCTATGATTCTTGACTCTTGACAAATGAATCTTTTCTTTTATGTACACTGAGAGCATTTGCAGCAAGACAAATTCCTTGTGTGTCCAATCACACTTGGCCAATAAAGAATTCTATTCTATTCTATTCTATTCTATTCTATATTCTATATTCTATTCTATTCCACTCCATATTTTCTATTCTATTCTATATTCTATTCTATTCTATATTCTATTCTATATTCTATTCTATATTCTATTCTATTCCACTCCGTATTTTCTATTCTATTCTATATTCTATTCTATTCTATATTCTATTCTATATTCTATTCTATATTCTATTCTATATTCTATTCTATTCTATATTCTATTCTATTCCACTCCATATTTTCTATTCTATTCTATATTCTATATTCTATATTCTATATTCTATATTCTATATTCTATATTCTATTCTATTCTATTCTATTCTATTCTATTCTATTCTATTCTATTCCAAATTATATTCCATTCCATTCTATGGCAACTTATAATTTTCCAGATTCTGTTATAGGCCTTGACTTACAACCACAATTGAGCCCAAAATTTCCATTGCTAAGCAAGACAGTGGCTAAGTAAGTGGCACCCCCTTTTTTTGACATGGTTGTTAAGCAAATCACTGCCATTGTTAAAGTGATTTGTACAGCTGTTCAGTGAAGCCGGCTTCTCCCATTGACTTTGCTTGTTGGGAGCTGGTTAGGAAAGTCACAAAAGAGGATCACACAACCCCTCAACAACTGTCACAAATAATGCCGGTTGCCAAGCAGCCAAATTTTAAATTGCATGGCCGTGGGGATGCTGTTATGGGCTGTAAGTTCAAGGACTGGTCATTGGTCACTTTTTTCAGTGCTACTGTAACTTCAAGCGGTCACTGATTAGTCATAAGTCGAGGACTCCCTATAAATAGCAGGAGTTAACAGATGACAGATAATAAGAGTTGGAAGAGACCTTGTAAGTCATCTAGTCCAACCCCCCCCCCAAACCGGGAGACCCTACACCATTTCTGATGGATGGCAGTCCAGTCTCTTCTTGAAAGCCTCCAGTGATGAAGCTCCCACAACTTCCAAAGGCAACTTCTGTTCCATGGGTTGATTGTTCTCACTGTCAGAAAGTTTCTCCTTATTTCCAGGTTGAATCTCTCCTTGTTCAGTTTCCATCCTTTATTCCTTGTCTGGCCTTCGGGTGCCTTGGAAAATAGCTTCACCCCCTCCTCTCTGTGGCAGCCCCTCAAATATTGGAAGACTGCTATCCGTGTCTCTTCCCTAGACTAGCCAGGCCCAGTTCCTGTAACCGTTCTTCATATGTTTTAGCCTCCAGTCTCCTAATCATCCTGGTTGCTCTTCTCTGTACTTTTTCTAGAGTCCCAACATCTTTTTTATAGTGTGGTGACCAAAACTGGATGCAGTACTCTAGCTGTGTGGTCTTACTAAGGCTTTATGGAGTGGCATTAGTACCTCACTTGATCTTGATTGTATCCCTCTGTTAACGCAACTTAGGATTGCATTAGCTTTTGGGCTGCTGCTGCACATTGCTGGCTCCTATTTAGCTGGTTGTCCACTAAGAAAGACTCCAAGATCCCTCTCACAGTTCCTGCTATTGAGCCTGGTTTCACCCAGTCTATGTGTGTCCTTTTGGTTTTTCTTGCCTAAGTGTAGGAGTCCAAGAGGCAGCCTTGAAGGGAAGGGTGTTAGGGCTTGGAGGCACCAAGGTTAAGTCCCCAATGTTGGAGGCGACCATCAAGCAGTGTTGATGCTCCTATCCAGGGATTGCCATTTTCATTCTTTAAAATAAAAACCACTCCGAATTTGACCCATTTGTCAAATCTCAAAAGATCCCAGCGTTTCGCATCCCCATCAACTCAGAACCTTGCTTGTTCTTATGCCAAACCTGGTTCAGCCTTCTGGGCAGATCTAACCCAATCACAAGTCCTATCAGGATCTTGAATGCTTTGGGGGTCATCAAAAGGGCCAGATTTAAAATCGGTGTCATTTTAATTTGGGAGGGTCTGACAAGTATGCTCTAAGGCAGAGGCCCCCAAGTTTTTGGGCACTAGAGACCGGTTCCACAAAGAAAGGTTCTTCCGCGGACCTGAGGGGAGGTGGTTTCATGCGCTGCGTGCATCCTGCGGATGGGGGCTTCGGTTGTTTCCTGGCATGCCACAGACCAGTGGCCGGTCCATGAACTGGGGGGGCCCTGGTCTAAGGCAGTGTTTCCCAAACCTGTTCTTTCATTATCCCAAAACACTGATCAGAAAGTCTTATCAAACTTCAAAAAACAGTCATTAAGTCCCAAAGGTGCTTTCCCCCCACAAGAGGCACAGTGGTTAGAAAGCATTACTGCAGGCTAATTCTGCCAACTGCCAGCAGTTCGATCCGGAAGGGCTTAAGGTTGCCTCGGCCTTCCATCCTTCCGAGGTTGGTAAAATGAGGACCCAGATTGTTGGGGGCTGTGTAAAACCGCTTAGAGAGGGCCATAAAGCACTGTGAAGCAGTATATAAGTCTAAGGGCTATTGCTATTCCATTCCGTATTGCAGGAAAACTCTGCCCACAGTCTGGAGTTCGATCCAGAATGGCTCAAGGTTGCTTCAGCCTTCCATCCTTCAGATATCGGTAAAACGAGGACCTGGATTTTGAGGGGCAAGAGGCTGACTCTGTAAACCACTTCGAGAAGGCTGTGAAGCACTGCAAAGCAGTATATAAGTCTAAGGGCTATTGCTATTAAGAGAAGGAGCCTGGGTCTCACCTAAGGGTGGGTATTGGGAGAAGCTCTCGACACACATCGGTTTGCCAGGGATCATCTCCACAATCGCAGCGTCTCCAGATTTCAAAGATTTGGGATTGTCTTCCAGCTTCTTGCCAGAACGTCGGTCGATCTTCTCCTTAAGCTCGGCGAATTTGCAAGCAATGTGAGCGGTGTGGCAGTCAATGACGGGCGAATAGCCGGCGCTGATCTGTCCAGGGTGGTTCAAAATGATTACCTATTTGGCGAAAGAGAGAGAGAGAGATGGAGAGAGACAGGGAGGGAGAGAGAGAGAGAAGGAAAGAGGGGAGGGGAGGGGAGGGGAAGGGAGGAAAGGGAAGGGAAGGGAAGGGAAGGAAAGGAAAGGAAAGGAAAGGGAAGGGAAGGGAAGGGAAGGGAAGGGAAGGGAAGGGAAGGGAAGGGAAGGGAAGGAAAGGAAAGGAAAGGAAAGGAAAGGAAAGGAAAGGAAAGGAAAGGAAAGGAAAGGAAAGGAAAGGAAAGGAGAGGAGAGGGGAGGGGAGGGGAGGGGAGGAGAGGAGAGGAGAGGAGAGGAGAGGAAAGGAAAGGAAAGGAAAGGAAAGGAAGACCAAATTAGCCTGGATCAAAGTCATATGATGCTAAATGACTGTGTTCTCCTGCATTCTTGGATATATGTATATATTTAATCCTTCATTTGTTCTGTTGTTCCATTTTGTGGTTTTAATTGTGAATATGTTGTACGCCATTGTTTCTCAACAACCTTGCCACTTTTAAAATGTGTGGACTTCGACTCCCAGAATTCTTCAGCCAGCCATGTCTGCAAGGATATGTTTTAGATGCCTAAACATCTGGGGGTTTTTTCCTGGGGAAAAAAAAATACGTTCGAAGTTGTCCCAAAGGTGCTTTTTTCAAGAGACAACTGGACTTTCTGGTTTTTTTTTTCTTTGAAGACATTTCACTTCTCATCCAAGAAGCTTCTTCAGCTCTGACTGGATGGAGAGGATTGGAAGGATTTATACTCCTTGCAGACAATTGATCATTTGCATCCTTTTAGGGTCGTTGAAGCACTTGTTATCTGTGTCCTCAGGGTCACCTGAGTAGATAAACCTCCAAGTGCTTCAATGACCCTCCGAAAGGATGCAGATGACCAGCTGCCTGCAAAGAATATAAATCCTTCCATTCCCCACCATCCAGTCAGAGCTGAAGAAGCTTCTTGGATGAGAAGCAAAACATCTTCAAAGAAAAAAACAGAAAGTCCAGTTGCCTCCTGAAAAAGCACCTTTGGGACAACCATGACCTGGATGGCTGAGAATCTCTAAGAGACTTTTACATTTGATGTTGCAATGGACACCCCCCCAAAAAAGTTCTAATGACCTGGTTCTGAAGTTCCAATACTTCCCCCACAGTCATGTGGCTGTACTTTGTCACTCAGTCTGTATTTATGACCATTAGCAGCATCCTGAAGTCACATGACTGTGATTTACACTCTTATTTGCCAAAATTTACTTCTGGTATTTGGAAAAAAAAAAACAGCCCATGGCAAACCATGGCTTTGTTTAACAACCACATTATTTGCTTAACAACCTTGATGATTTGTTTTACAACCACCGTAAACATGGTTACATGTAAAACGGTCCAGTCACATGGTGACTTGATTTCCAACCACATCAAAATGGTTGCAAAATTCCGGGCCCTATTGTGGTTGTGAGTCAAGGACTACATGTATCTGATTGGTCTAAACATGTTCATAAGAGCAGGGTCAATATTTGCTCCTTGATGGAATACAAATATAACCCCTACAATTAGTCGTGGGAAACTTGCCAGCTAGGCTGGAAGGAGGCATCAAGTGAGGGCCTAGCTTGGAATCCTTGCATAGCTGTAAGGGGCATTAGTTTGACTTTCTCCAAGAGCCATGAATCCTTATTTGGGTCATTCCCAGAGGAAGGCAAGCAGTCTGGAGAGATTCTTGTAACACAGGTGTTAGACAATAACGTTAACTGACTTTCGCTATCCAGAAATGGCTCTGGTTGCTTGCCCCCGAGAGATAGGATGCCATGACACAGCTCTTCAAAATGGCCACCCTCTGCTCACCTGAGAAGTGAACTGGGCTGCTTCCTGAGGCGGGTCCGATTTGCTGTCTCCGCAGACGTTTCCCCGGCGGATGTCCTTCACGGACACATTCTTGACGTTGAAGCCAACGTTGTCCCCAGGCAGAGCTTCGCTCAAGGCCTCATGGTGCATCTCAACCGACTTCACTTCGGTGGTAATGTTCACGGGGGCAAAGGTGACCACCATGCCAGGCCTGAGGATTCCTGTCTCTACACGGCCCACGGGGACGGTCCCGATACCTGTGAACGGCCACAAAGAGGGTCAGATCACTACAACCACCACCAGGGAACATGGCTTCTCCAGAACATTGGAAAAACTCTTCCTGTTAGGTTGATCTTCAATCCCTATCTTCTTCTTTCCATCTGTAGCATTAACTCACACATCTGGAAGGCCCCAGTTTTGGTGGCTGTTATCATAGAATACAATTTTTTTACCAGATTTTCATGGGGAAAAACAGTATTTAAATGATGTGATTAGAAATCTATGGAGGTTCTCAGTCATCCAGGTCATGGTTGTCCCAAAGGTGATTTTTCAAGAGGCAACTGGACTTTGTGGTTTTTCTTCGAAGACATTTCACTTCGCATCCAAGAAGCCTCTTCAGTTCTTCAGAAGCTCTCTGAAGAACTTCTTCTAAAGAGCTGAAGAAGCTTCTTGGATGCGAAGCGAAACGTTTTCGAAGAAAAACCAGAAAGTCCACTTGCCTCTTGAAAAAGCACCTTTGGGGTGATGTGATTAGAAGTTAAGACTTATTTACAAGCAGCAAATTCTGTTGCAGATTCTAACCAAGGGCTGTACAAATGTACATAAAGAAATTGCTTTGTTTTATAGAGTTCCTTCATACAATTGTGCAGAGCTGGGCTGGCACATTAAAGACAAAGCGCTAAATTATTTGCCTCTAATGAAGGAGAAATGTAGATGTGAGAAAATGTTTCAGAAAACAGAATCATGTGTGTGTTATATATAAATGTATTTGCAACCCATCTCATGATTCAAGGTGATATATTTAACATTCTCTTTTATTAATCACTAATATTGTTTATTCTAATGACGTCTCTATATTGTTCCTTTATTTATTTTTACCTGAGATCCATGGCATTTTAGAAAATGAAAAAAATTAAATAAAGACAAGTCATGTAAAAAAAATTTTAAAAAGTTTCCATACGTACTGGTTAGTTCAATCATGAATTACAGAAAGTTCTTGATTTATGACCGTAATTGAGCCTGGAATTAGGTTGAAAGCTTTGAGTGGGTCACCACGATTGAACTGATTTTATGAGTTCTTCTGTGGCAGTCTTTAAGTGAATCAATTGTCCACAATGGGTGTATTTTAGCAGAAAACTGAAAGTAAACGCTAAACGACCTGTTGTAAGTCAAGAACTACCTGTGGTGTCTTTTTTCTGCATCTGAGTAACCATGAAATAGTTCTTTCTATTCTTCAAACTTAGCAAGAAGAGTACAAAGCTTTTATCTTAATTTTATATACTTGTTTCTTGCAAAAAAAAAAAAAAGAATTATTTGAGGCTTGGGAAATACACAAAATGTTGCTTCCAAATTTACGAAGGGGGAAGCCAGCAACATTTCCAGGTCAAGTAAAAACCTAGAAAAAAAGCAAGCAGTTCTGCCCAACCTGAAATGTGCCACAAATTTTTTAAAAAATATGGTTTTGTTTTTTTTAACAAAGAAAATCAATGACTGAAATCTCAATAGATACCGGAGTTCTTTATAAAGTCTAATAGAAACAAAGGACTGACTGCAAAGCTTCGCAATTTCATAATTCTGTTTTCTGTTTAATGTTGAGTGTCTGCAAATATGTAGAGCTTCTCTTTGTTTGCTGATCTGCAGCAGTGTGTTGCTAAGTTTTGCAATAAGAAACTTAAAACTTGAGCTACAGAACCAGCCACGGGCGGGCTTTCCCCAGATGTTCACCTCACCTCCGATTTTGTAGACGTCTTGAAGAGGCAGGCGTAGAGGTTTATCTGTAGGGCGAGTGGGGGGCAGGATTGTATCCAGAGCCTCCAAGAGAGAGACCCCGCTGGCATTGCCTTCTTTGCGTTCCACTTTCCATCCTTTGAACCAAGGCATCTAAGCGACAAAATGGCAGATTTTGAGAGGGGGCCCACTGTACAATCCAAATCTTCCATGCAGGCACACAGACACATGCCCCCAAAGAGGAAAATTATCACCTTCTTTTTATTTATACATATGTAACTGATATTGAAACTATTAAACAAGGGATAAAGTAGGGAAACGAGTAAACTATTGTTAAACAAGTAAAATACAGTAGGGAAAAGAAACAACATTATTGCAAGTGAGTGTGTTATTTGCCCCTTGTTTATATACAGTGGATCGACCTGCAAGTGTTGGTGAGGTGTGGTTTTCTCCTTGATTAGGGTATTATTTTCTGCTTGTTTGTCTGGCATTAATCCCTGCTTATCTGGGTGACGGTTGATGGAGGAGATTCTTCATTTGTTTCCTTCTTAGCCCTTTTATTGCCTCTTTTGAATGGGGTGTAAATGTGGCTTATGTCTGTGAGTCTCTTGATGGCTGACTTGTGGCTGAATGCCAAGCTGCCAGAAATTCCTGTAGGGCAGGGCTGTCCAACCTTGGCCCCTTGAAGCCTGGCGGACTTCAACTCCCAGAATTCCCCAGCCAGCTTTGCTGGCTGGGGAATTCTGGGAGTTG